AAAATCACTTTTGTGTAAAAAATTGTTATAAAATAAAAATACTACTACTAAGATAAAAGTTCACTTAATAAAATTTAAAAAGTTACTCGTAAGTAAAGAAATTACTCTTATAAAAAATTATTTAAAAGTACAAAATTAACTTCTAATCGTAAAATTTACTAATAAGTAAAAAATTACGTATTAAAAAAAAAATTTAATTATGTAAATATTTCACTTAAAAATTAACTTATATGTAAAAGCATGTGTATAAGTAAAATATCACTTGTAATTAAAAAAATTTCACACAATAAATTAAAATTTCATGAAGAGGCATATATATAATTTTATTCTTTTAAAAAACTTTCTAAACCACGAAATAAAAAACTCCAAAACATGGGTTAGATTGTTTTAAGAATTGCTACTAAAAAATCCAAAATCGGATCTTTCATAAAAAAATCGGTACCTCAAAACTCCCAAGTAGGCCCTTATAGTTATCTCAACAATATAATTATGTTGAAGGATATCAACAATCAGTTCCAGAAGGCACATATTTCTAATGACTATTCTTTAGACTTACCTTTTAACTTTATAGATTTGTTTCAATACATATAATCCTCATAGGACTTCCATTACCACCTATTGTACTCCTACACCAGTGAGTATGAATGGCTAAGGTTAAAAAGTTTCTTATAATATAACTAATAAAGTTGTAAAATAAATAATTTTATTGATCAAAACTGAAAATAAATTTATTACTTATTTTGACAATAAAGTTACTTTCAATTAAGCAACTTTTTACTTCTTTTAACAAAAAGTAAGTTATCTAAACATGTTTGGAAACAAAATGTTAACTTAAACTTAAATTTTACTTATCTTTAAGCCAATTTAACTTGCTAAGTCATTATTACTAATAATAACCAAACTTGAATCCTGGTTACTACTTGAGGCCACACAATCATATGTAATAACTCATTGTCAGTCTTATTCCTACTATAAGAAAAAGACATTGTATGTGCTTCGTTTTAGTTCTAATAAACACAAACCTTTATATTCCACAGTGTTCCTCAAAAGTCGTGACTTACTAGTTATCTCCCTATTAGTTTCATCATCTAACGGTTAGATTTGAATGCTACAATGGACCTCATAGTTAACTTTTCTTGGGTCTACTTTCTTGCATGAATATGAAAAATTCATACAAATTCAAATAATGTGCGTGTTTTATTTGTGCATCTGACTGGTAGATTAGAAAACTCTCGATTTGACTAGGTTTCAGGCTTCGTTTTTTTTGGTGATATTGACTGCATCCTCCTGTGCTTGCCTTTTCTATTGATTCCTACATATTGGATAGAAAATAATTCTTTTACAAGGTGAGAGATGAATTGAACAATGATTATTGCATGGGCATAGAGGTGGATGCCACTTACGATTTGCATTTGTTTAACAGTCCCATCATTGTAGACAGTCCAGTTTATATAGCATATGAAATTAGACATATCTCACGATGTGAGATGCAAAATCACCTTCAACTACAAAAGAATTAAAACAGTAGATGTATGGATGGTATGAAGTGCTCAGACAAGAATTTTTGATAACCGAAAAGTTTGTACATTCTTAACCAAGAAATACTGAATTCTCTTTTGGATTGGCCATGAAAAGAAGAAACCCTGAAATGTCACACTAGTAGAGTTGAAAACATGACGTGATCAATTTGACCAGACGCTCGTTCAAGTCTTTAACAACACATGAAAACATGAAAAAACAAAAGCTTCCCCTTCCCCCCAATCCCTCAAAATTTATGGGAAAGGTACACTTCTCTTGGATTAGTCAGTTAGGAGAGAGGAGGTATTCCTTTTTTGGTAATACCCATCTGAGCAAAGCCAATAAAAGCTAATCTATCTAATTAACAGTTTGGACTGCTTAGTTAATATTTCCAAATTTAAATGTTGGTTCATTGGATAACCCACGCCTATTAATGAGATGAAGGCATTTTATTATTATTATTATTATTATTATTATATTTGGTTTCTTTTTCTCATTCAAGAAGTTTGCACGTCTTGTAAGCTTACCTATGAATTAAGGAAAACTATAGTGAGTTGAGCAGGACCTTAATTCAAGACTACGATGAAAGGAAGAGTTACTAACACTACTATCTCATAACTGCAACGCCATCATAATAATATCTTGATAATATTGATACTTCTAACATAAATCCCTTTCCTCTTTTGCGTCCACCGTACTAGGCACCTTATTAAAAAAAAAAAAACACGTTTCTTATCTCTGAAGTATGTAGGTTGCCCCATATTAGAACTCCCTATCACAAAACCAAACTTTTTCTCTGACACAATTGAATTATACCTTATTCTATGCTTACTCACGTCTCCCATAATTTTGTAACATATAAATGTGGTTAGGTTGGAAAATCTTGAATTTATTCTTTGTTCTTGTAAATAGGCTCAATGACACACGTCTTCTATTCACATGTCTTCTGACTTTTTAAGATCCATTGAATAATTTTCCCAACCATGAAATGCCTACCTTTTACATGAGACACTTCAGTACAGTTTTTCTCTGGACCAATCGGTTTTTCTCATATTTATCCTCTTTGTAAGCTTCCTGCTCTGATCTAATTCTTCTAATATAGTTAAGTTTTATATCTATGGTGGAGTTTAACTGATTCTCGTATCACATCATGGCTTATATTAATGATTTGTCAAAAATATCTCTCCCCGTATTTTTATCGAAGTATATAGTACATTATTGCAAGATGTCTGAAGTTTCAACCATTTTGGGCTCCAATTTGTTCTATTATTTATTCTATGATCTTGCCATCCAAATTTCATTGCAACTGCTATGGAGTGGTGTAACACGTTGTAAGGTTCAACTTTTTGAGGAATAATCCTTGGTCAAGACGCTTTGGTAAGATTTGCTTGAAAAGAAAAATGCCAAAAAATAAAGTTCACATTTTTGGGCTATACATGTTTGGATAACTTATTTTTTTTCTTACTTTTAATTTAAAAAAAGCTATTATTTTAGAGAAGTTACTTAAAATGATTACCCTTAATTTAATGTCAAAGTATGCAACTTATTTTCAATTCTCGTCTATAAAAAAAATTATTTATTTTGAAACTTAGCATTTGTTTGGCACAGTTTATTTGGAAATATTTTTTCTTCAAACTTAGTTTCAACCCACATTCTCCCAATAAAATAATTTTGCACATTGACCCGTGATTTTTTCCTTCTTTTTGATTACCCAATCTCAAAAAAAAAATAATAATAATAATAATTAATTTTTCGTAAAAATATGAGAAACCACGTGGCATTATGGATACATATCCTAGACGTGTAGGATATGGTTCTTTCAATGTAAGAAAATTAGAAAATAATACAAAAAATAGGATATTTGACGTGGTGTGTTGGATACGTGCTAGCATGTTCGAGACAATCGATGTTTGATGGGCATTTTTTTATCTATCTTTACCATTTTCTTATGTTAATTGGTTCTTTGGGTAGTATGCAAGAATTATTCATATTAATGGCTTTGACCGAAGTGTTTTGAGTCACCTTTAGCCTGTTTATTTGACTTCATGTTCAAGTTAGAATTCCAAGCACTTTTAGAGTGGGTGATCAACATTATAAGGTATCTGTTCACATCTTTGTTTCCCAATATTGGAAATGTTAAAAGATTTTATTCTGAAGTTATATTTTTATGCTGGTCATTGTCTTGTGTGCATTAGTTTTGAAGCAAGTCTTATGCTGGATGATGATCTTCAGCATAGAATGTTACTGACCTTTTGGTAGCTTAGTTTTTATTTCCTTATGGTTGCTTTCTTACTGCTCGTGTGATCATGTTGCTTTGGCTAGCCAGGAGGCATGTGTTGAGTTGGTTGACTGCCAGCATGAATATTTTTCTGACTTTGTTGACCCATTACTGTTTGAGTTTAGTCCTTATATTCCTTTGTTGAATTCTAACAGTCACAATTTATTGTTGGCCAGCTGAAACTGTGATATACAGAATATTTTACTATGTGAATAGATCGGGCAACGGTCGTCTTACCCTCAGGGAGCTAAGACGTTCAAACTTAATAGCTGCAATGCAACATGCTGATGAAGAAGAGGATATTAACAAAGTCTTGCGGTAAATAGCTCATTACTGGTCTTGAGGAAATGCTTGTTATTTTTTTCACAAGGGCAAATAAATTATGCCATGGCTTGGTAAAGTTCCTAGAGGGTGATAGACTGTTATTAGAATGTCGTAGGATGGCTTTTTAGAAAGCGTAAACAGTCTTGTTTGGTTAGGTCACCAATATTAAATTTCTCCTCTTACTCAAGAAAAAAATTTCGGCACGGAAACCTCATGCCAAGGTTTTGATTAACCAAATGAATGGACATACTACGATATGTTAATTTATCTTATCTTGGAGTGTTACAATGCTGTGTTGTTTTCTTATGATCATATATCATATTACATAGAGATTCATATTGATCCCCTTCATCTTCTGATTCCATTTTACCTATTGTTGCAGGTACTTCTCTTATGAACATTTTTATGTGATATATTGCAAGTTTTGGGAGCTGGATACAGATCATGATTTTCTGATTGATAAAGAGAACCTTATTAGATATGGTAATCATGCACTCACCTACAGGATTGTTGATAGAATATTCTCTCAGGTTTGTCTTTTTTAATGATTTTTCTAGAAAATCCATATTCTGTACTTCTTTCATGAAATTTGATCTATTTGTTATTTGATGCTACTTCCATTGCTTGTAATATAAAATCTTTTAAATTTGACTTAGATTCCAAGAAAGTTTACCAGTAAGGTTGAAGGAAAGATGGGATATGAAGATTTTGTTCACTTCATATTGTCAGAAGAGGACAAGTCATCAGAGCCTAGTCTTGAGTACTGGTATGTGTATTGCTTGATTTATGAATATTAAAAGACATTTTGCCATTGTCCATGTGTAGACTAGCACCTTTGAATTTTCTTCCTAATGTGATCTAATTGAACCCTAGCTAATCATAGAAGAAATTTATGTTACAATTTTAATATCAATGTACAAGGGAGAATAAAGTGACAGTGAGTTCTAGAATTCTTAGTTGCTAATGTGATGGTCTTCAAAGTGGAGAAATTGGTAACGTCTAGTTCTTACAGCTTTGAGCTTTGGGATCAGGAAATTATTTTAACCTGAATCACATTGAAGCCTTGACGTGGTTGTAGTTCCCTGCCCTGCACTCCCAACAAAAACTGCATTAGGTACCTTCTCGTGGTGGGGATTGCTTAATTGAGGAAGTAAAATCTGGTTTTGGTTTTTATATAGAGAGCAGGCTGTTAATTTTCTCCCAGAGTTTCCAATAAGGGTTGGGAAAATGTATGAATGATTTATATGGCTGGATATTTGACTATAGTTTCTGTTGGATTTCTTGAAATTTGGTAAAAAAATATGATTGTTCTTCATTGTAGTCACATCATGGGGAATTTGGAACACTGTTTTGGTACCTATCTTTTTGCAACTGTTCTCTTTTTACCTTTTTTAGTTGACTTGTAGTGCCTCTATGTGAAGTATAATCATCTGAATTTCGATGCTCTCCATCCTTGATGGGTTAATATGTTTTTATTAAGCCTTCGTTTGTTTCTCATTTTTCATCCATAAAAATGAAAAATATGACCGTTATCCATCACATCAAGCCATCAATTTCTATCTCTTGTGTGGGCCCANATCACATCAAGCCATCAATTTCTATCTCTTGTGTGGGCCCAATAACGGCTATATTTTTCATTCTCATTCTACAATAATGAGAATCCAACGGGCCCTAAATTAAACTTGTTTGTTCTATCTTTTATATATGGCAAGTTGAATGTCTTTTTATCAGGTTCAAGTGCATAGATTTGGATGGGAATGGAATTATTACAAGGAATGAAATGCAGTTCTTTTACGAGGAGCAGTTACATAGAATGGAATGCATGGCCCAAGAGCCTGTGCTTTTTGAGGATATTTTATGCCAGATGGTTGACATGATTTGTCCGAAGGTGAACGTCTTTAGATTGTATTTTTCTCTCTTTAGAATTTTGAATTTCATCCTTTGTTTTTTTATCTTGTTTGTGCTTTTGGTGTTTTAAGAGGAGACGTAACGAGCAGATTCTTGGTTAAATAATGTTTGACCGGGAGTTTGAGAGCATGAAGATGAAAAACTTAAGAGCAGGAGTCCTATTAATAAAATTTATTAGAATAATAAAACCAAGAAAACAAATTTAAATGCTCTAAACGGGACCCATTAATGCAAACAACTGATTTCTCCAAAGCATAGTCTCTCTCTCTCTCACACACACACACACACCGAATGATCTTCTGTCCGCAGATCAAAAGAAATATTTTCTTCTTCAGCCCTATCTGCCTTCTTCCCACTGCCAAGGATTGTGGCAACGTTTAATGATTAGCTCAAACTAATAATAGGTGGAACAGCTTGGAGGAGTGTATTAAACTATCATCAAGCAAATTTGTTAACTAAAGACAATTAGAGCTTGCCAACAGTTGGTGTCATTCTTGGAGCAGCACTCCCATGTCAGTATCCCAAAATTTGCTCGAGACCAGAGTGTGATCTTGCCTGAATCATGTGACATAGAATAGATCAAGAAACCTATGTAACTTCTTTATGTTAATTTTTTTACCTGTTTGGAAAAAAGTTTGTCACAAATAATAATTCTTAAAACTTTTCTAATTATGCATTTATTTTGCCCGATGAGACTGTAATATCCAGATTACTTCAATGTATAAAATGCGACTTTTATTTTAAAAAATTAGCTTGCATTTAGGCAATCTGATGGCATGTAGAGGCCTCATAGATTTTTCCCGGAAAAGCTATGCTTTGAGAAGAAAGCTGAGATGAAGTAGACTGGTAGGATGTAATTTGCTGGCACTGTCTGATTTGGATCTCTTGACAAACTTGAAAGCTAGTTATGCAAATTCTTTAGATTACGGGTTTCGATTGCTAATTAATTTAGCATCTAGTGAGCCATTATGGCTGAACAAGTTGCTCCTGTAATATGGATCGTCTTCCAGGTATAACATCTTGTGATTTTGAAATTGTTCCATTTTCAGGATGAGAGCTATTTTACACTGCAGGACTTAAAGGGCAGTAAGCTCTCGGGCAGTGTTTTTAACATCCTTTTTAACCTCAATAAGTTCATGGCTTTTGAAACTCGTGATCCATTTCTAATCCGTCAGGTAATTGATGCGAGTTTATTTATTTGTATCTGATATTTGACGATGAAGTGTTTTGAGATATGCTTAGCCAGGTTTGTCAAGACTTTCCTTTTTCCTTGAACAGGAGCGTGAGAACCCAAATTTGACCGAATGGGACCGCTTTGCGCACAGGGAATATATTAGGCTATCGATGGAAGAAGATGCAGAAGATGCCTCTAATGGAAGTGCAGACGTCTGGGATGAATCACTTGAGGCTCCCTTTTAAATTCTGTTTGGTGAGATTTTTTATGCCTTTTCAAGCCAAAATTATTTATTTATTGTTGGTAGTTTAATAGAATAGTGCATAACCACATCTATATTTCAATTGGTAATTACGATCCATTGGCTTACCAATCAACCACTTCAGAAGTTATCTTGGTAAAATACATTCAAAGCTTGTTGACGATGGTAGAGTGTCAATTTAGTTCCAAAATTTTGGCTCCATAGTTGTAGACGTAGATGACAGAAATTCTTAGTAGAAAAGCTTTTTTAAATGGAAAAATATCTGGGTGAAACAAGTAGAATAAATTTTGAGATGTGAGATTTTCTTGTCTCATTTTTTGTTGAGTCCTTCTAGTTTCTTTTCTTTGACACAAATAAAAAAAATATAAAGTGTTGTATTTTGGTTATACTGAGCCATGTTACCATTTTACTTAAACGAATGAATTTATCATGACAGTGGGTACTAAATCTTTTTGTCTCGTGAACTCAGACCATAGATGTACTTGAGATGCCAGGACGAAAATCAGAAGTTAAATTGAAATATTTTAGTTGGTTAATATCTGCTAGCTTACTACTAAAATTTTCTGCTTTCAGACTTCAAATTCAGTTATTGATAATATAATTTTTCAGATGTTTATAATGGATTCTTTGTTTCAAGCGGGCTATCAAGCAGAAAACCAGTAGTTTTGTGGGGGCGATAATACATCAAAAAGGATCAGCATCGTTCTCTGACCCCACCAGTGATTTGTTGGAAGCCTGTTTATGGAATTTTGAGCATACCTGCACATAGCATACTCTGGTCGAGCTAAAGGATCGTCAACTCCATTTGGATTAAAATATTAAAGGACTTGGCCGAATGTTGACTGGTAATCAAATGGAGAAATTTACCTACTTAAGTAAAACAACTTGCATCTTTCTGTTGTCTAGTTTTAAGAAACATTTTTATTAATTATTTCTTTTAGAATATGCCTAGTGTTTTTCCTAGCACATTATTCTTGATGGGATTAGCGTGGTTAAGGTGCAGTACTATGCTTTTTCTTGTTGCCCTTTCTTTAAATCTTTTAGATTCTTGACTTGTAGTTGCCTGTGTTCAATTTGTGTCATAATGGAGTTTCTGTAATGATTACTGTTTTTTGTTTCTTTTCTGTTTTTTTTTTTCTTTTTAATCTTATAAAAAGTTGCTGCTGTTTCCTAAACCTTGAGAGAAAGTGTATTGTACATATAAATTGAAACTAGCAGCTTTCGTGTAAATTTTAGACTGATGGAATTCAGAGTTCAAGTTGTTTTAAGTTAAACGAATTATGAACGACAGTATCGTGTTTTCTACATTATTCATACTATGTGTTGACATACAACAAATGAGGTCCAATTAAATGATCCAAAGAATAAAGCTCGGTTAGGAAATTCGAAGGATGGACCCAAATGGGACCATATAAAAACCCAAGACAGAGTTATGTAATAGAGGTTTATCCTCACTCAAGCTTGCGAGATGCCCAGTATGTGGGCGAGTCTGTCATCGCTCAAACCCGTGTGACGTCCAAGATCTAGACGAATATAGTGTTTTGGTTACTATTCGAAGCAACGGTTATTGAAGTAGTTAATGAGTAATTTAATTACATTCCATGATCTAAGAATCTCGGTTGCAAAGAGTTAAATGATGGGAGTAATGACAGCGGTTGAAAACGATAGTTTCTTGACACGTCATCAATGATGGAGAAAGTGGGTAGTTACAGGATGATGGACAGTTTTCAAACGGTTTTACAAGAGAAACTGTTAAATGAGTATAAAAGAGAGAAGAATTTACAAGAAAAAGATCAAACGACTCTCAAACTAAGAATTATGTAATTTCATTTATTTTCTTCTAGTTAACTTTCAATTACTTCTTTCTAGAATTAGGGTGCTTGCGCCCCTTGGAAGTATTTCGCTTCATCCATATTGTAATCTTCATCAATAAAACACCTCTTGTTGGGACTTTGTCTCAAGAGATTGTTGTTCCTTACATAATCGTCTGAACCATCTTTTAATTGTTAGCGAGACTCGATTTCCGCGCGAAACACTATGTAACAGTAATGAGGGATTGTAATTTATTTGGAAACTCAAGTTAATGTTAGGGTGTAAGGTGGAAGTGCCCTCGAATGTCCGTTGGCAGAAAAAGGATTATTACCTTGCACCACTTAGGAGAATAGCATTTGCTCGTCTTGGCCCTAGGCTCATCTGTCTCTCTGTCCGAGCTGCCTATGGGCCGAGATCTCACGAGCTACAACCGTTCTGAACCTATTGTCGCCCCTAAGCTTGTTTAAGGCTGATTTATATTCAGCTTCTGAGTAGGAAACTAGAACTACTTGGATCTATTGAAGTTTTACGCGTTTGGTTGAAAGCACTGCTGCTCACTGTACTCATGTCTCGTCCCATTTGGTCCTAACTCTTTTCATTTCAATCTAGTTATAAACTTTAATTTTGTTTCAGTTTCGAGCCATTCCGTCTAATCCATTTCAACCATTAAAGGAAATTTTGACGTGGTGTGCTAATGTGCTAATCTCACCAACGTAGGCAAAACATCACATTTTTATTTATATATTACAGTGGTCGTGCTACATGTACGTAACAATATACATAACGATTTAGCAACAGATGATGTGACAAGATTTAATTGGATAAAATCTCATCAATCAAATAAACCTTGTTTACATTTACATTTTGAAACATACGAGGCTGAAACAGTCAATTTAACTGCTTCCTTTTGAGCTTGTGAAACACAGACTACAATAAAATCATTAACTTGTGCCTGGAGCTCCGTATGTTTCTATCTAAAGGAAAAAAGAAGGAATATCAGAAAGATAAAGACACTATCATGGTTAGTCAGAGATCGAGAAAAGTTCTATGGCACTGACTTAAAATGTTAAAACACGTTTTACTCTGTTGTATCAACTAGTATGAGGTTCAGATACGGATACTTGGATATTTTATTCATAAATTAAGTAAACTAATTATAAGAAGCTCATACTCTATACATGGGCTACATGAACTTGACACTAGGCAAAAAATAGATGGGTGCTTTTTATTTAATTTGTGTTGAAGAAAAATGAGATCACAGACTGCATATGTTACTTTATCAGTGAAATTAGCTGTCGCTTGCTTCATGGAAAATGTGTACTTAGTACTTGGGGATTGTTAATGTATACGACATACCAAGAACTCTGTGCACGGAAAATTACAGATAACTGGATTAATTTCTGATATGATGAAACTAACAATCATAGTAAATTATGAGCAAAACCCAATTGCAAATATACAAGAAAAGCAAATTAGAAGCAACAAAGATGAGAATACTGTAGATAGGAAAGAAATACATAACAAGAACAGAGAAGGGTTCTACTGACAAAGAACCAAAAAAAAAAAAAATGAATAGAAGAAAGAAAAATCATCAAAAGTGCACGACTGGTAAGTACCTTGACTGGAAAGGTGCCAGGAGGAAAAGTCATGAATCGGAGTGGCAAAGGCCACAATCCTAGGAAGCCTACAGCACCGTTTGGCCAAGGCAAGAAGCTGGTATTGTCTTGCAATGATCATAAAAATACTCTCCTCCCTAGTACACACTGCCTCCTGAAGTGCATTCCATCCATTATTATTCTGAAGACTCCCATCAGCACCTGCTGACATTAAAATCTCCGCAGAAGTTGCATCATGAAGCCTCACCACAAGGTGCAAAGGAGCTTCCCTGGCTGGAACATCCCGCCTATCAATTACTGCACAAACAGCATCCTCCTCAGCATCCCAAGATTCAGCCTCCGTATTCACCTCTCCTGCCTTGGCCAGTCAAGGAAAGGCAGCAACAATCTGTTTCAGTGCGACATGATCACACTGGATGACTGCCAATGGGCAGGACTACGTTCATATTTTGACACATCTTCAATTGCCTTCTTCTTTCCTCCACTACCTGTACTTTCCTTTTTATTATTTCCTCCAATCAATTCAAATAAATGTCAATTTCTCCCATCTTCCTTCTAAAATGCACTACAGAATCATCTGGGATTAGAGGCTTAGAGCTCCTTAAAGATTCCGTAATTATAATGCAGATCTTTTTAGCCTTCTACGACAAAATTCGGAGTTTTTACAAAAAATATTCTTTTGACAGCAAATTTGAAACTCAACATTGTGATATAACACAAAATCCCATCAAATCTTGATGCCTAGTCCGAAAGCTGCAATTCAAGAAAGAAAACAGAAACTGCCAAAACATAGAAAGCAGGGAAATTAGCATAACACATCTCTGGCCCTAGCTATATGTATGTACAATTCAATTAAACTTGACAAAGGAAAAAAAAAAAGTGTATCATAAATCCTTCAAAAACCAAAAGGTCCCCGAAATATGAAAGGTGACCTAGTCTCCATATAGAAAGTTGAATACGATGTGCTCAGATCTCTCCCATCTCCCTCCCTCCCTCTATAGACACGCACGCAAAATGTTTGTATTGTTGTCATGAGATCAAGAAGTACTGGATTTTCTTTCGAATATTGAGGAGTGTCACCTTTACTTTTGGTTTGTTATTTTAGTTGGCTTTTGTTCACCTGGAGAGGGATTTAGACTTTTGCCCTTGGTTTTCAGAGATATTACAAATCTATCGAGTACACGACCAAAACCAAGGTGAAACTTTTTTTTTTTTCTTTTATTCAAAGATTTTTCGAAAAGGAGTTTGAACTTGAGAAGTTATTTTTAGACTACGTTTGAGTGAGTTTACAAGTCGATTGCTTAGCCATAAAATGCACAAATTTACTAACGATGTTGATGGTCGCTTGCCAAGTTCAACCTTTCAAGCTTGTCGTTAATTCTTTCTGGCCCAATACCTTGACACTACATCCCGTTGGCAGCACCTCCACATCTTTCTTCTACAGTGGTTATTCACTCGCTTAGTCAAAATTTGAGTATTTAATGACAATGTGAATAGAGACCATCCACTGGGAATCAATGTTTTACAAAATGTAAAGTCTAGAAAGTAAGCGACA